GAAATGATGAGAATAACACTCGATTCAACAATTCAAATGCAGAATCGAATCACAGACTAAGATCTAGACAAATTTTTCACTTTCAAAAAGTGCGGAAACTTTTGAATCAAAAAGTTGATTCAAAAACCTTTTGAACAGCGTGAAAATCAGATCAGAGATATGATTCCTGCTCTGATACCAATTGATGAATCAATGAATCGAGTAATGAATTAATCAGAGTATGAATTCAGGTAAGAATGTGAGATTTGAACACAGGATGTAAATATGATCTTGTTATGCTCTATTACGCTTTCGAATTCTTTACAGAGTACAATAGACAAGTCTGTAAAAGTTCTCATCTAACTCTAGTAAATAACCTTATTTATAGGAAACTGAAAGCGTACAAAAAATATACTAAGGCATAGACACTTAAGTTTCGAATAAAAGCGCCCTAGTAAAATACATTACAAAACATCTGAAGAGTCCAAAACATACTTCGACTAATTACAACAATTCGACCCTTACAGTTTTCGATCAAGGTTATAGACGACAACCAAGTTTCTTGTAATTTGGGGATGAAGTAGGGGTCTGAACGGGGAAGGAAATTTAGTATGGTGGATTTTTTTTAAATTATTAAAAATAGATAATTAAAATGAAAAAACAAATTATAAGGGCATAATAGTCTTTTTAAGTTAATAGGAACCAAAACCAATAAAAAGATCCAATTTTAGACCATTGGTGCACCGCCACAACTTTTAGACCAAAACCACAGAATTTTACCAACCACAGGGACATTTTTGTAATTTTGTCAAAAATATATGAAGTTGAGTTTTTTTTAATTACATTTTCAGTACTTAAATGTAATTCATTTTATATTATTCCTAATAATATAAGGGAAACCTCCAATAAAGTCCCACATTTTGGTCTAGTTTACGTTTTAGTCCGAAATTAATTTTTGTTTACGAAAAAGTCTTAAAAACCGGCAAAAGTTTGCATTTTGACCCTTTTTGACCGGTTGAAACCGGTAACTAATTAATTTGGGATTATTTCGTAAAATGACTCAAATCATTCAGACTTTTCTACAAAAAAATATTAGAACTTTTTCTACAAACAAAAACCTTATTATTATTATTATTATTATTATTATTATTATTAAAAATATAAATAAGTATACTGTTTTTTAAATTCGTTATTATTAATATTTTTAATAATACATATAAATACGTTTAAATAAAAAAAAAATATTAAAGACATTTTTTAAAGGTAAATGTGGAGCGGATGGTGATGCTTTAAGCATTGAAATCATGAATGTCTATTTGTATATTCTCACTTTGCATATGACCATTTCACAGTTGTTATTATCGTTTTCGATTCAGAATATTAACACTTAACAATTTCATAGAAGATGTCTATTTGTAGAATTGTTTATAAATAGTTTAATGTAGAAGGATTTTCTCATTTTCTATATAAAATTGTTTAAGGTAGAAAGATTTATTTCAAATCCAACATATCCACTACAAACATCTATATACGTAGTCAATATCAAAATTCAAAAGTATTAATTACAGTATCTGGTTTAATAAAAAGTAATATGACATGTTTTGTTTTATCATACTATATCTGCTATGTTTCCAAGAAACTATATGAATAAAGTAATGAAAAAAAAGCAAAACACATGTTGGTAATTCAAATACTTGCACACAAGACATATAGGGCGTGTTCGACACAGAACGTTTAGGAGTGTTTGAGAGCTTGAAGCTTCTAGCGTTTGACAAAACGTTCCGTTTTGAACAGAAAGTCTCGTTTGACACTACAAACTTCTAGCGTTTAATTTAAACAAAACGTTTCAAATTCAAATGCTAATTCATGTAGCGTTTAACAAAACGCTACCAGCTAGAAGCTACCCGCTATCCGTTACAAGCTACCCGCTACCAGTTATTTTTGCCGAACACGCCCATACGCATAACACACACTCACACACTAATATATGTGGTAGTAGACTCAATCATAATCTTGACATGATCTCAGTTGTGGACCCAAACTCGATTCAAGAAGATATATATAAGAAATGTTCGCTTACAAGTTGAGAATGATAAAAATAAAATGAAAAATTAATGATAATAGTGATAGGCAAAATCACTATTTATAAACAATTTGAAAAATAGGCAACTTCTTTTAACTATATCTGAGGGTGTAACCTAACCAGGGTTGATACTTGATACTGTGACAAAATCCCAAAGTAACGCCTCCCCCATCAGTAATCGGCCCGTCTCTTCCCCTCCGATCCTTCCGTTCTCTGCAAATCCGATCACTCTCCGTTTCCGCACTCCGGTGAGCACCCTAACCCTAACCAACGTACACCAGCACACGCCACATCTCTCGATCTTTTATTTTCTCTCTCATCAAAGTTCAACATATTCATTCGTTCAGTTTAGATTCTAGGGTTAGCATTATACTTACGTGAAAAAATATCATTACCTGGAATTGTGCTGTGTTTTCTGTTTTTTCAAGTTTCATTTTCGATGTGTATGTCAAATAAACACATAATGCACCTAAGCGATTACGCATTAATCGCAATCGCGTCATTTGGAACTGCCAATTTTGTATAATAGATTTAGAGGATTTTTTTATGGATTCGCAAAAATGCAAAATCTATGATGCTGAATTCTGAATGAGATTGATTGTTACCGAGTTAGAAGAAATGATAAGCTGGATGATTCCAACTTTCCAAGAGCAAATACTAGGGTTCGTTCTTTAAACCTCTGTTGTGGCTAATTAAAACTATCTATGTCCTAAATTGATCGACAAAAAGTTAAACTATCAATGTTCTTGCTGTTTCTAGTGAACTGATCTATCTTCTATCTCATTTCTACTCCTCCAGATTCTGTTGTGGCTAACTAAAACCAACTATGTGTAGCTATTTTGTGCAAAATTTACCTGATACAGATGCAAATTTCTCTCATTGAACCCCAAGATTCTATTCATGCTGAACTTAATGAATGAAATTACCCATTCAGCAGAAAACTATGGATACTACTGATCGTAGATACTTGGAGGAAGAAGATTCTTCAATGACAAAGATGATGAAGGGTACTGCTACTGGTTTGGCAGCTGGAACAATTTGGGGCACCATTGTTGCTACATGGTTGGATGTTCCTCGTGTTGAGAGAAATGTTGCTTTACCTGGTTTGATTAGGACATTAAGGATGATGGGTACCCATGGGTTGACTTTTGCTGCCATTGGTGGAGTCTACATTGGTGTTGAGCAATTGACACAGAATTACAGAATGAAGAGAGACTTTGTTAATGGAGCAGTTGGAGGGTTTGTTGCTGGTGCTGCCATTATTGGTTTTAAAGGTCAACATCATTTTCTTGTTTGCCCTAAATCTTTATGTATTGTAGAGATTTGAGATTTTACAGTTGTTTTTGGATGATATTCTTGGTGAAATGAAAGGGAAAAGTAAATAAGGACAACTGGAAAAATATGTAAAAAGCCTTATTTTCCTGTTTTTCTCCATTAAGTAAAAAAGAAATACCCATATATATATATATATATATATATATATATATATATATATATATATATATATATATATAGCTTACTGGATTATGGTGTTGTTTCTTTTTGACTTAATGGGTAATGATATCTGTCTGGATAAAGTGTAAGGGTAAAATGGGCATTTAGGCATGATTCTTGTGGTGTGTTTTTAATTTTATTAATGAGGTGGCGTGTTGGGTTGTGTAGGTAAGAGCATTTCGACGGCACTATCCGCCGGAGCTGCACTTGCCGCCACTTCTGCCGCCATTGATGTTGGTGGTCAGACAACCAGAATGGATACGGGAAAGGAGTATTACCCTTATACTACCAAGAAAAGGGTTGATGCCAATTGAGTGGGACCCTGTTATGAAGGAGGAGGTTGCTGTTTTCTTTTTCTACTATTATTGTGATAAATGATTTCTCAACCTTTTGGATATTTGATTTTGGTGTATGTTTTGTTCTCATTTAATCACAGTTTACAAAGTCAAGACAGTTTGCTGAAATAAATTTACAGCAATTTTCTGTATTCAATAAGAATTATGCACATTCTGATTCCATTGTTTTTGTCACAAAACTTTTTCAATCACTTAGTTAGAGGGAATGGTAACACTCCTAGCATCTTTGTCACATCATTTTTTTGACTGTCACGGTATTTTTTTTTGCTTGCCACCTCGCTAACATTTTATTCTTAGCATTTCATAGGGAGTGGGAGCATTTTTTTTTTAATTTATGATTTTCTTTTTCAAATTTACATTAATTATATGATTTTTTTTTCAAATTTAAATAAATTATGTTTTTTCAATTTACGATTTTTTTTTTCAAATGTAAAATAAATTATATTTTTTTAATACACAAACATTTAATATTGCATATTTTTTTAAAGACAAACAACTAATATTAATAAAGGTTTGTAAATTTTAAAAACATAATTTACCTGTCGAACATATAAGAAGCTATTCAAATTGTACTTTAAAGGATTATAATCTCTTACTTTATTTATTTTTAAATGTTATTTTATTTGAATAACATACATTTTAGTCATATTTAATATGTTAATCAACTATATCATTTTAGAAAATTAGTGACAAAAAAAAAGTGTTGTAGGTTGATTTGATCTAATACGTTTAGATCCCATTGTCCAATCTATCTTTTTGTTAGATTTGGCTAACTTGGTCGTTAATATTAGCTAATTTTATTAGAAAAAAAAATAGAGAAAAAAAAATACACAAGTTGATGTAACTAGCAATATAATTGATAGGGAAAAAAAATCTAAAACAAAAATTATTTTCCTATATTTTATAGGAGTACACAATTCGAAAACCCAATCCGATTCACTTCAAAGAATTCCACGCGTCAAAAACTCATTGGATCTCTTGAATTTCTGTGGCCTTTCCATGGCATCACAACTAGCAATCTTCTCTTCCAAAACATTCCAGAGACTCCACTAATGGCGAGCATCAGTTGCTGTTGCTCATCTGCACTTTCTTCCCGAAGGTAAACTTCTCTCTATCAAATCCTTTCTTCTTTCCTTTCAAAATCCCCAAATCAATGCTCTCAATTCGTGTATTCTCAACTTTTAACTTCCTATGATTCCCTTCTTTTTTCTCAGTGAAAAAACGTCGCACACTCCTTTCTTCTCGAGGAAAATTAATTCGTTTTAACTTTCTAACTCAACTCCTGTGTTTGTTACTTCAAATTCAATATCAATCCTGCATAGAACCCTTGATAATTCAATTTCAAAAATTAACGACAATTACAACATTATTGGCATCAAATCATTTTTACATATCTGTATAAACAGCAATTTGGGGACACTGTCACTGAGATTCAATCGCGTCAACACAACACGACCTTTGCGTAGAAGTTTAAGAATCAACGCTGAAATTGATTATATAAACGCGGAAGAAGCAAAGAGACTTGTAGCAGAAGAAGGCTACTCCATTGTTGATGTTCGTGATAGAATTCAATTCGAAAGAGCTCACATAAAATCATGCAACCATGTTCCACTTTTCATTGAAAACAAGGACAATGATCCTGGTATATTACGTTACAAACTTCTATAATTGATTTTTATGTTGTAATTGGGTTGGTTTTTTAGTGGATAATATCTTAATAAGAAAAAAGATTGAAATTACATTGCTATGTTTGTTTTGTGTAGGAACTATAATCTATAGACAATTACATAACAACTTCTCGGGTTTGTTTTACGGGTTACCATTTACTAAGCCTAATCCAGAATTCGTGGAGTCAGTGAAGAGTCAGTTTTCACCTGACAGTAAAATTCTAATTGTTTGCCAGGAAGGACTACGGTAAGAATTTTTTTTATACTGTATCTATTTCCTATTATAGCATTTATCCATCAATGTCATCTAAATACAAAGCAAAAGTATAATATCGTAATAGAAAAAAATTATAAATAAACTTTTGTTGGTTTTTTTTTATTAAGATCTTCTGGTGCTGCAAATAAATTGGAAGAGGCTGGATTTAAGAATATAGCATGTATAACATCGGGACTCCAATCTGTAAAACCAGGTTCGAATTCAATTTCAAACATTTACAAATTTGCCCTTGTTTATTTTTTTTTTGAATAAAGAAAAAATAAATAAATATGGTTGGTTTTGATTGTTAGGAATGTTTGATGTTGTTGGGTCTACGGAGCTAAAAGACGCGGGCAAGGGCGGTTTGGTCCAAGTACAAGGAAAAATCTCGGCTGTTCTTGGAACCGTACTCATCTGTAAGTTGTAAATTGATTGACTTAATGGGGAAAGTACTTAATTCGTTAAGGTGTATATGTGTTTTTTTTACTTAATGCAGAAAGAACGACTTAATATAGAAAGTCAGAGAAATGAAACTTTCCTTATCATCGCTTTATTTTTTTACGAACTTTTCTCCATTTCTCGGACAGTGTGACGTTGTTTTCTCAAATATTTTTTAAATATGATTTGTTTATGGAATTTATTTATAGGTGCATATCTTTTCATAATGTTCTTTCCGGATCAAGCGGAGAAGATCATTGCATTGGTTCCTTCGAGTTAAGAAAGGGTATGAATTATGTTGAGATGAAAAGTTTTGTACATGTGTTAATGTGTTGTGATTTGAATTTGTTAATTTTATTTGATAATTTGAGTGAAGTAAGATTGTTGACAACATAGATGATAGATCATATGATCTTGTGATTGTGGTGATAGACTTGTAGAGTTTTAGCTCTAGTTGATTATTGATGTAATAGCGAGCATGTTAATCACATCAATTATAATTTGATTAAACTTAAATAAAAATATAATGTAATTGGCATGATTATGATAATATGTGCGTGTGCAAGTTTTTTTTTTTGAAGACTACAAATTTTTAATAGAGCTAATGCAACAATACAATTAGAAGGGAATTTGAGAATTTGAGAATCTTATTTATAATACTCTTGATGTCATATTTTTCAATTGATTTATAATACTTGATGTCATTTTTTATTGTAGGCCCCTCTTTAGAAAGGATTAGGTTAACATCACAGATATTTTACATAGAATACCATTGACTTTTGATTTTTTTATTTTTTAAAATGAAAAAGAAATGCTACCACAAGATAAACAATTGTAACTCTGTGTTCAAAAAATATATTATTTCGATAATTTTTAATGGTATTTTATGAAATAAAAAAAATATTTCATTACCCATTTTTATGCTATTCTTATTAAAAAAAATCAATGTGTGTTCATAGAAAAAATAAAAATAAATAGTTCCTTTTTTTCTTATTAGAAAGTAAATGTGAGGTCTATAAATGGACATTATTTCAGCCATATCACTACATCCTCACAAAAGTTCTCAGAATCATAAATACCCGATAGCCCCTTTTATGCTCTTATAGTAAAATGAAATTAGGGTTTGATTTTGAGATGATTTGGTTCTATGATTGACTTTGATAAATGTTGCTGTTTGATTTCAAAAATGTTTATGATTTTAGTTTGTATGTTCTAGAGCATATATGTCTTTTATTTTTGAAAAAAAAAATAATAATTTTAAAAGAAAATTAAAAATGAAGTGGTAGCAACATCCACAATAACAAAGCTTCTTTGTTGAGTTTTTCATATACCAACTTATGGTACCCACATATCTTGAAAAAACAAAACTCATTTTTGAAAACGAAAAAGCTCTCCACAATATAAGCTAAAATTCGATTACATTAAAAATACATTATGTTAAAATTCGATTAAATTACAACATTAACATTTTTTAAGAATACACATTCAAAATGTTATTTCAGAGAATAGGAGCCTTTGGAACTCGAAGCATTAGTGTGTGATGATGATATATTCATCAAGAAGATAAAAAAAATATAATAAAAAAAAAAAAAAAAAAGTTACAATGAGTTAGCAAAATCATACTCCACTCCATGTTAAGCCAAAAATGTTCGAAATCGAGTTTTAATTTTTATATATTTCCTTCGCTTCGTTGCACAATTAATGCTACTCTCCCTGTAAGCAGTACAATTGTCTAACATTCCCAGAGGCTGCAAAGACCATAACCATATACCAAAATAATTAATGACTACACACAATTATATATCACTATAAAAATACTTTCACAACTTTATTGATTCACTTACTAAACTATTGTTTTCTTACACTTTTAATAGTAATAACTTAATGACTAAATTTAAAAAAAAATAAAAATAAAAAATAAAAAACCCGGAAAAGAGTGGTCTTTTAAACTGTAAACAATATATAATGGTTTAATATCAAGTGTCGATAAAAAAAATACAAAGTTGGATTTTTTATTTACATTTTTTAGAATATTTATGTTAGCCAAGTTCAAGATATTTTTTAACCTCGCAAAAATAATAAAAAGTTGCTATCAGATTTTTTTTAACGAAAACCATTGGAGGCTATTTTTTCAACAGTTAAAGTGTAAAAAAAAAAAAAAAAAAAAGTCTTCGATGGGATTTGAATTGGCTGACCTATTTTTTGTACAGCTTATTTTATTTCCATTTTAAGAAATATTTATGCTAGACAATTCAAGATTTTTTTTTTTCAAATTGAAAATTGATTAAAAGTCATTACTTTAATGTCAAAAAAAGGTCTTTTTGTGTTGAAAAAAGTAAGAATGAGCAAAGCAATGGAATGGATCCCATGGTCATGTTTGAATGACATAATTGGAAAACTAAATAAAATTAAATTGATAAAAAATAAACTTTTATTAAATAAAGATATATCATTAAAACTAAATTGTATATAATCATAACTCACGTCATTTTAAATAAGTACTCTATAGGCATTCCAAAAGGCTAAAAAATACTATTATTTATCATTTAAAAAACTAAAAATTACTTATCTTAAAATCTTAAAATAGAATTATGATAAAAATAAATAAAAACTAATTTTAGTCATCTTAAAAAACAAAAAACTCCCCACTCCATTCCTTTATGGAAACCAAATATGTTTTTCAGATGCTGTTAATGTTAAAGGAAGATTATTAGTTTATTACCATATAACCAGTCTTTAAAGTAGACATGAAGTGCAGTTGATAATTCCCTCTTTTTGGTATCTTCCAGTTGTGATTCTTTCAATATTTGTTTAACCTCCACCAAATTCTTGTCCTATCAATCAAAACCAAAACAATTAAATGACTAGAATTTTAAAATAAAATAAAAGTGGCTAAACATACATTTCTGTGCTGAGATGACAAATAGACATCAGGCAATGGAAATGGATTGTCTTTTGTGGGCCCAGATTCTTTTTCACCTTGAAGCCATTTTGGAATCTGTAACAAAAACAACAAAAATCAGTAATATAATAAAAAAGGTAACACATATGCTTCACTTTGTGTATTTCTCTTTTGCTATGTAAAGATCAGTAGTCAAAAGGATTTGGAAAGCAAATAATGACATATGATAGAATTTTTGACCTTTACACTACTTTTTTGTAAATTAATGTTTGTTTTACAAACATATTTGAAATTATACTACAAATACTTGTAAAATATAGTATTTAAACTATCTGTTTATTAACTTCTAAAAGGACCAAATCGAAAAAAATGGAAAAATGTAAGGTCATTTTCAGGAAAAAGAATAAAGTTGATGTTTAAGCGAGAAAAAACACAAAAATATAAGGTCTTTGACGATATTAACCCTAAAATAAAAACGCTATTTGTTTAAAATTATTTTTTTATAACTAACTAACTACTTTTAAGTAAAAGAACGATTATAAATATTTAGATAACCTTTTTTTTAATAAAAGGGTAATTTCAGTTTTCTTTAATGTGAAGAAAATGCTTGAAATTGTATTCCATGGGCTTCTAAAGATTTTTAATATCCATCAGTCATGATTTTATGAATTCCAACAAAGGAATGGAATGGAATTGAATTCCAAATTCCATGGAATCCAATAAATCAGGTGTCACTAACCAAAGTTCATGTGTATTTGACTATTTGTGTGTGTGTGTGTATTACACACAGAAAGATTATATTCAAGTTCAACAGCAAAAAAAACACAAACTTACCAAAAAGTTGGTAAACTGATCTGTTTCTAAGCAAGTAGCAGACTCTGTTTGACAATCAGACACACCAGCAGGATGAGACATGGAATCATGTGGGTCCACCAAACCCAATGCAATTGGCTCATTCCATCTGTTAGGAACACTCTCAACACCAACTTCTTTCATGTGCTCTTCCAACTCTGGGTAAAATGTATTATATGGTGCGACCTGGCATCCATCAAAACATACCTCACATCATCAACTTTCATATATCAAACTAACAATTACAAAAAAAGGTTGCAGTTGCATAAATGATAAAAGTAAAACATACCTGAAGTTTATGGTTGTCACCAACAATAAGTGGTTGCTGATTCACCCCCAAAAAGAATACACATTCGCGACAATTAGCAATGCAGATACGCTTTGCTACTGAAATCACATGGACTCTTTCACAATGCTCAATCCTTACAGCCTGAGAAGAAGACAAACAATGATACTAAATGAGGGCAAATTTGTAAAAAGTTAGGGCTTAATGGGAAAAGCTTCCTTTCTATGACTTTCTTTGTTAAGGTTTTAAAAGGGTAGTTTAGTCGTTTGCACAAATAAGGGAGGATTGAAACCATATGTGTACCTTCCCAACAGCACCAAGCACTATTGTCGCATCAGAGCATCCATATATTGTGGCATATCTCAAAGGAGCCAAGATGTAAATAACAGATTCATGGCAATTTATAATCTGCAGAAATTGAGAGCAACATTTCAATTAAAGAAAAAGTAATAGTGTTCGTATATTAAAAGAAAAGATAGAACCTCACAGAAAGCTAACCTTTACAAAAGAGCTTTTGAGTTCAGATGGTTGCTTTACATATGATTGTTTGGAAATCCCCTCAATAAAACTGGAACTCTTAGTACTACTTGAGGCCTTCATTGTGTTTCCATAAGCATCAGCCATCATAGCATCCTGATCAGAAGCATTACTTGGCCCATTCTCTTTTGCAGCAACTCTTTCAGAGATATGTTCCAATGCAGAAGAAATGTTCTGTATAATCCAATCATGAACCTGTGATGCATGAACTGGGGCTGCGGGCATATCAGGATCTGAATTAGCAAAAAATGGAGCATTTTGGCTCAATGGAATCTTCTGTGATCCTTTTTCGCCAAAATATATCAGAAAATCAAGATGCTCAAAGTTTTCCATTGTCAAAACCTGGAAACATCGCAGATTCATCAAAACATCAAATTAGAATAAGAATTAAGAAATAAGATGGTGGATCTAAGATGTAGTAGCTATAAGTGACAAACCAGTGAATCTTCGCCTTCACCTTGACCTTCCACAGAGTCAGCCAACAGAGATATTATGTTGCCTAAATGCTTCTGTAGATACGATAGTTGATGAGCTTCTTCATCAGCTTGTGATGGCATAGAACGCCGTACGTTGCTGCGTGCAAGCTGGTTAATGCAACATCAAACTTTTATTCTATTATCCAAAATCACAGATTTATGTTTGATCATGGCTAGCACATCAGTCAAAAGCTAAGCAGCAAATTAGAGATTAAACCATCCACGGAAATTCGTGAAATTCTCTAGTTACAACTAACAGATAAAGTAGAGACAATCAATGGAATCACCTGTAACGGCGTAAGAGCAGATAAAAAGCCATCGAATGCAGAAGTAGATGGCCAAACATCCGCAATAGCAGCGGAATCCTTATGTCCTCTAGGAAGCAAACGCTTGTACGACTGTATGTACAGAAAAATAATGAGATCGTAGACATTGACGCCAACGGAATCAATCTCGTCAGGTTTAGCCGTCACAAGCGGGTCCGAATCGAAGGGGTGAACAGAAGCGATTATCTCAAAGACAAGTCGGGCGTGTTCTGGGGAGATCTGTAGCGTTTCAGATAGAACTGCGGAGCTAATGCGGTTTGGTTGATCTTTGGCAACTGGATGTTGAAGAAGTTTGTCACGGAGAGAGGTTAGGGTTTGTGTGGCGTCTGTGAAGATGAGTTTCTGCAAAGGGATGAGACCATGCTCGAATGGTTCACGGCGTGGATGTATGTAGAGAGAAGGTGGTGGAGGTGGTGTTGAGGGTTGCTCCGGTGGTGGTGTCTCCGTCATGGCTATGGTGGGGAAATGGATCTGGAGGTGATGAATGTGTGTGGGAGTGAGAGTATTAGGACAGGGAGAGGGGGAAATGTGACAATATGAGGTCAAATGCGAGATGTAAATGTTATTGGTTAATGATGGATTAATCACTAATAATGAAAAAAAAAATACTAGATTAATTCTTAGACAAAACTGCGTTTTTTGTGCCTGTGGTTATCCAAAAATTGTGGATAAGGTCCAAATTGTTTTCAAGTTGCATGGTTGGTCCAAAACATGAAACTTCTTGTGGTTTTGGTCCCTGGACTTAACTCCC